TTTAAATTACTAAACGAGGATCTTCCTTTCTCTTTACTTCTATCTCTTCCTCACTTTCTCTCTCTCTCTCTCTCTCTCTCTCTCTCTCTCTCTCTCTCTCTCTCTCTTTCTAAAAATTCCCTCCGTCGTTTCTGTACGATCTCTCTATTCCTTCAAATTCCATACGAACATCTCATGAAGAAAATAGTTCATGACATAGCATTTTATCACTTTCCTTCTGTTGAGTATCTATATATGTATAATATAATAATAAATCATTTTCTATAAAGATTTATAAAAAATCGACTTATTTTGGTTATAAAACTAATGTGTAGAAAGAAAAGAAGAAATTTGTTAAGATCTTGGATGGCGCTTATATAAATGTAGTGTCAAAAGAAGAGGAACGATGAGTTCGTTATAAAGCAAAAGAAAAATCGAAGATGCTTTGCGAGTGACGAGACTTTTTCTTTTCTTTCTCTCTTTTTCTCTCTTTCTCTTTCTAGTTTCCGGGCAAACATTTTCGTCGGTTTCATGGCTCATTGGCTCGCATAAACCCACTTCCTATGTCGTGCGACGCCGTTGTAGGAAAATGGGGAAAGGAAGATGCGCTTTTTGAAGTCGAGAACAACTTTTACGAACCAAGTATATCTCGACTATTCTCTTTGGATCTTCCTGCCTGCACTTAAGGGTCATTGAAAAGAGACAGATGTGACGAAAGTGTGTACAGAAAAACTCACCGTTTACCACACCTCTCACATTCGCGACATTAAGATAATGGAACTGCACATATATCTCTTCAAAGAGATTTATATTTTCTCACTATAGATATTGTAATAATATAATAAATTTTACATCATTTATTAATCTTTTTATAATTATTTTCTGAAAGATCGTTAAAGGATAAAAAAAGGAAATGAAACGAAAAAAGAAAAAAATAAGAAAAAAGAAAGAAAAACTGAAAGTTCAAGGATAAATCACTAATTTGATTTAAGAAGAAAGTTTGATACACTTCAATTGAGTAAAATGCTTATCTTCTCTTTTTTCTTTTTCTTTTCTAGAACATACTAGACTAGAGAAGAAACGAAATATCAAGAATCTATCGAGTTGGTTTAATTAAATGAAATAGAAAGAGAGTATTTCAATCGAAATGCAATAGTAATTGCAATTTATCTTTAGTTAAACCCATTTAACCTTGTTATAAAGAGAGATGATGTCCGTAATGCTTCCGAATTGAAAAAAAAGAAAAAGTATACGTAAATGAAACATTTGTTAAAAGAAGACAACGTTCGATAACGTTCATTCGATATATACGAATGAACTGTGAAATCAAAAATGGTTTACAGACGGCCAATTTCGATCGCATATCATCCTTTACGATCGTTGTCGGATCATTTAAACTATTGCATTTTGTCGATTATATGCCTCGGAAAATCCAATTAAATTGATTATTCTATAAGAACCGTTATGTTATCGCCAGCACAAATAATGTGTACATCAATATTTTCATATTAATCGATCGTTAATGCGAAAGGTAAATTTACGATGTTATAAATAACGGCTTGTAAATGTTGATATACATTGAGTATACGCACCGTATGGCGTATCATCAAGAGGGCAAAGAATTTTTATGAAAAAAGGAGAAAAAAAAAGAAGTACAAAAAAATAACAACGAACTCGAAAGCAAACAGAGTAGATAAGGTTACGAACGATAAGAGATTTACAAGGACTTTTCTATATTCGATGTTGATAAGTACAGGCTACTGCAGAAATAGAACACCGACCCATTTGTATGAGACAAAAGAAAGGAAGACAGATGGATACGAGAACTTCCTAACTAAACCGAACCGATAAAAGTTGCATAGTTATCTCTCTCGAGATACTTAAAACACTTTTCTTTTTTATTGATTTGTTTATTTAGTTGTTTTTTCATTTTTATTTTTATTTTTATTTTTATCTTTTCTTTGTTTTATAAATCTCGTTAAACTTATATAAATAACTTTGTATATAAGAGGGGAGAATCTTAATTAGCAATAAAAAGAATTCTTTCTTCATCTTTAGAGTGTACAATCAGCGTGGTTCTTTTTCTTTCCTTTTTTCTTTCTTTCTTTTTTCTTCTATAATTTGTATTTAATAAACATCTACGAATATATTGCAAGATTATATATTATATATATATGTATATATATATGTGTGTGTGTGTGTGTGTGTGTGTATATATATGTGTGTATGTGTCTGTGTTTATGGAGATAATGTAAATATTAGGAACAAGTTAACTACAACTGTGACTGTATACTAATAGGAAATTCCCATTGGATTGTCGTGTACCTGGAATTTGAATTTATCGCTTGATTAGTCACAAACGATAAATAATATTCGAACTTTCGACCATACGTTCTAATTGTTATCGAAATGTACATTAATTGAATAATATAATAATTATATGTGGAGAACTGAAGACCATTGCAATTGTTGATAGGATACGATAACGGAATATTTTTATTTTTTCTTCTTTTTTTTTTATATATGTGGAACGTGACGAAACACAAGATTGTTCTGTGTATCAAACGTTGTCCCATGATGGTTCTTATTGATCGTAATGTCATTGTTTCCATAATTACGTTGAAAGCTACGTTAATTGTCCACGAAACATCACGTATTTTTAATCCTTCTGTGTACTCCTTCCGTAAATACGAAGCACGATCAGAAAAATAAAAGTAAATTAAATCTTCTGAATAATTCGTTTGCAACTACGTGTTTAAATTTTACAATGAGAATTTCCATCGGTTTCAATCGAATTCTTTTTACATCGAGAAGAATATCAATTTTGAGTGAATTTATCTATTGAAAAAAAAATCTTTTTTAAATAAAAAAAAAAAGAAAAAAGAAATAATAACGATCTTTAAATAAAGTTATTATTGTTCACTTAATCGATAAAAAAGTAACATAATAAAAATTACCGTACGTATGTACATATGTACCTTTACCTTTTCCGAAATATTTTGTTTTCTTTGTTACACTTTACGGTGAAGGTCGATTACCATTTCATAAGCAACAAAACAATAACACACCCGATGTTAATCACTTCTGCAGATCTCTGTCATTGCCATCTCTCCGGTATTTCTACCGCTCGTACCTAATATATGTTTAAATAATAATGTTGATATCGGACAAGTGGAAATATAAAGAGTTGAAAATTGACAAACTCTCCGTACCGTAATTATTCGAATAAAAGATACATTTACAAAGTGAAACGTATAGTAAAAATAATTGTATTGTTTCTTATTAAAATATAAATATTTTTACACACATAGAGATATGTATATATATATATATATATATATATATACATTTTTTTTCTTCTTTTTCCTAATCAAATAACAAAATGTTTTAATAAGAACTTACGAAACAGGAAGTTTTTTTCCCCTTTTTATTTGAAAACGATTATGTTTTGCAATTAATAAATTTACAATACTTTATATTTGTTGTAATAATATTTTATAAAAATATTTCACGTATACGGATGCAGATATTACAAACTTTTTTTTTTTATTAAAAGAACGACATAATTATTCGAAGTAAGTATAAATAAAACTCACAAAAATGTTTTCTCTCTTCGTGAAGAAAATTTTCAATAATTTAAAAATTGTTATCGCGTTTCGTGATTCATTTAAGAAGAAATAAACATCTGGATCTCATACAAATGAAATATTTCAGATTGTTTGGCAACGTCGATAAGTAAAATTAATTTCTCATTAATGACGCTAACAGACGATTACAAAATACACAGTTTATTTAACGGATCAATATGAAATTAATGTGACGAGCGAATTTCAGTATATGACGTAGCAGGTAATAATTGCATGATAACCGCAACAATTAGCGCATAGTATTATCTTATTCGCTTGATTATTCGACTTATACAGGAAAATCCTGGAATGACAATAGTTATCATTTCCCATTAATGCTTGGAAAAGTGGTCGATACTTTCTAAAATAGGATTTAACACTTATAGCATTCAATATGTATATTATTAAACATTAAAATTATGGCTTTATTATATCGAAATTAATTGAGTTCTTTTGTTATACATACGCAATTATCTCTAAGAGAAAGAAATTCGAAACTAGATTGTTTTTACTTCATTGTTGTATTTGAAGGTTCAATTTTTCTTCAAAATGTTTTTTCGCTAAGGTGGATGTTCAACGGTCCGAAATAAATAAAGAAAGAAAGGAAGAAAGAAAGAAAGAAAGAATGCCTTGGTATACGGCAGCAACGTAAAGAAGTTCGCGAAAGTAAAGAAATGTGTAGACACTCCTAAAGTGAAAATTAATGACTGTGCGAGCAAAGAGAGTATAAAGAAAGATAGATAGAAGAAAAGTATATTCTTTTTACTTCATCACAATATGAAGCTCTTATTAAAATAAAGTATCGTCTTATGTTAATTAAAATCCAACTGTATACCTCTTTTTATTTCATTGGAACAAAGTAGAAGCTTAGAAAGAATTTATAATTAAACACATAGGTTATCTGTTTTTATATATCTTTAATAATGCTTCCGAAATATTAATCAGCATACTAACGATATTCTATTATTACAATTCGAGGTCATTCGGTTTCATGAGTATCTATAATTAAAATGAAGAAATTATGATTTTATATTATTCTATTTTATAAGAATTTATATATGTAAATATCAGCTTATATACGATTGAGAGTAATATCATTTATAAATACTTAAGAAGGAGTTTCGCGATTACTTTTTTTTAATAACAGCTACGATATGTGGGGACATTTCTCCCATTTTCTCTCTATTTCTCTCTTTCTCTCTGTTCGCGCATTGAAAAGAGAATAGCTTTACACACACCGATTAAATTCTTATCGGCATTAACGATATTTAAATAAATTCAACTCTTTCTCTGTAAATCGATTGCTTGCTACACGAATTCGCTCCACTTGAGAATTTCTTTAACGAACTTAACGATTTCTATTGAAATACGATAAATTATTTTTTTCATAAATAAATCTAATGTTAATCGATCGTTCCTCGATCAAACTTTTTTCTAATCGATCTATTCGTCTAGTTTCATCAGAATAACGAAACTAATTTTGAAAAAAAAACGATTTCAAAAAGTTCCTTCTTCTTTTCTTTTTTTTCTCTCTTTTTTTCTTTATCATTTTTTCTTCTTCCTTTTCTCTTCCTTAAGGATACAACAATGAAAGAGCTAAGAATAAGAGTATTCTTATTTCAGGCTATTTAAAGATTCTTAACTTTTTGAAGCAAAATAAGATTCGTTGGATGTCGTCGACGGATCATCGTTCCGACGAAAAAATCATCCACACTTTTCACTCTTCACGCTTATGAAAATATGTACACAGACACAATCCAAGAGATTCCTTTTTTCTTTCTCTCTCTTTTTCTCCTTTATTTTCACCCCATATATCGTCGTAGTAACAACATCGTAGTAACAACGTCGTAGTAACAACGTCGTAGTAACAACGATCTCTACGTAAAATCCGTATTTGCTTGAGCAACACTTTTCACGACTCAGATGCGTATCCATCCTCCTTTTAATTATTCATATTCCCTCTCTCTTGCTCTCTATCTATCTATTTATCTATCTATTTATCTATCTATCTATCTATCTATCTATCTATCTTTTTTCTTTCTTTTTTCTCTTTCTTTTTCTCTCTTTCTCATCAGTTAGTTCATTATCACATACAAATGGCTTGTCACTTCTATATATGCTGTCGCTATTTTTGATCGACCACTTTTCCGCTTTCAATGGTTTTCCTCTATTTAAAAAATCCAATCTATTACACTTATTCTTTTAATAACAGACATATTCACATATTTGTTTATACATTTATCAAAGACAATGAGTATAATAAAAATTTCCACAAACATGATATCTTTTTGTTAAATATAAGATATTATAAAAAATGGATTGAACGATTATGCGTCGATATTGCTTCAATGTTCGATAAATTAGATGAGCATTACATTAATCACATAACGAAACATTAATCTGATTTATTATCTATAATATCGTATCTACAGTAGATCAATCTGTCTTCTCTCTTCTCATCTTCTCAAATCATTTCCTTCTTATATAATACAACTTGATGATTGATAAATTGAACCACCCTTAACGTGACAAAACAAAATTACTTTCTCTCTCTCTCTCTCTCTCTCTCTCTCTCTCTCTCTCTCTCTCCATAAGAACGACACTAATAGATGGAATACGTAACATCATACGCGTATCAGTCGCGAGCAACTTCTGATATGAGATATTCGAAAATGTCTTACTTTACCATTAAAAAATCACGAAAAGCTTCTCTGAAATCATTCCCCCCCGCCTCTCTCTCTCTCGAAAATACTTTCTTTCCTTGGGTCGATTCTCGATTTTCCTTTTCGTTTACTCGCGAAAAAGTAAATGTAAAGATAGAAAAATAGATGGTGATATGGTGCAAGAGAGCAAAAGAGATAGAAAGAGAGAAATTGATAGAGAAAAGGGTACGGATAGTAAGAAATAACATAGGAAATAACAAAAGAAAGAGAAAGATAGAAAGAAAGGTATTAAGATGGAAATTAAGAAAGATAAAGAAAGAGAGAAATACAAAGAGGATGGGATAATGGTAGCGATTAAGAGAATGAATAAGAGAATGACAGAGAGAGAGATAGGTATTAGTATAGTGAATAAGAGATAAACGGATACGGTAACGGAGATAGAGAAGGATAAAGAGAGCAAGAGAGACAAAAAGAGAGAGATAGCAAGAGAAAAGGAGAATAAGAGAGATGTCAACAAAGCAAGACTAAACGGACTATTATCCATGGTCAAGCAAGATTTTCGTTGCCAATACAATGTTCAGTATATAGATTGATGTGATTAACGTGTACGAGATAGAATCAGAGCGTACACATTAGAGAGAGATAGAGAGAAAGAAAGAGACAGAGAGAGATAGAGAGAGAGAGAGAAAGAGAGAGAGAGAGAGAAAGAGAGAGAGAGAAAAAGTTTTGGTATTGGTATGTACAACAGTCTTCATTAGTCTTTGTCCAAGCTGCTCTGAAATTGCCGTAGTCGCTTTATGCTGCTCTTAGCGGCCGATGAAATGACCGTAAACACTACCCCCTGCCTATGTGAACACGAGTGCCTATAACATGGTAATCGATTACGTATCTAACGATCTAAACTGTGAAAGTGAAAGGAGGAAGTCGTTAACTGGAGTCACAACTCTTAGTTAATTATAAATAAAACATTAACGTTCAAGATATTCGACAATTTTAATGTTACACTCACAAGAAATTCCTTATAAGGATCTAAGTTCTATAGAATTTACTGTGTAATGATTTAAAGCCAATTATTCTCTTCTTCTTCTTCTTATTCTTAAGTTAATCTTTTGGTTGTCTTCGTCTGCGGTTCGATCGCTGAGATCTCTTGATATAAACTAACCAATGTTTTTGTTATACTGAGTCGTGCGGTTGTTTGATATAACCTTGACGAATATATTCGAATAATGAAAAGGTAATTTCGTCTTGCGTTATAATTTATAAATAATAAAGTCTTGTGTTTACGAAATAGAAAAGGTATCCTATTCTTCATCCGTATATTTACGTTCCATCGTTATGAGAGAAAGTTTTCTTTCTCTAGCAATGTAGAAAATGTTGAAGGTATAAAAAAAAGGATATATATATTTCTGTATTACTATACTTTACTCTCGGAATTTATTCTAATAAGAATTGAAAACATTTGCAATAAAGTTAGTTTTTGATATTGCAACGATTGTTCCGAGATACTATGACATGCGACATTTCTATTCCTTTTCGTAGAAGTTTTTCCTTTGGAAGGAAAAACTCTCCTTACTGTACTAGCTCACGAGAAAAAACTTTCAAACGAATTTCTTTATCGATATTCTACTGTCCGCTGTATTACTTTCTTCCTTTTTTTTCTTTTTCTTCTTTTTCACAGTTGCCGTGAGAGAAAAGTCTTTAAACCAAGAATGAAAAGAATGAAAAAGAAAAATATAGAATTTCTCAGCTGATAAATCTCTTTCTATATCTTCTATATTTATGGAAAATCCTAGGGAAATGTTTCCGTTTATATCCGAACCGAGCTTATGCGTACACATATAACATTTTACAGACGAGATGTTATAAAACATAACGACGAATTTTAGTAACGTGACGTTTTTATTAACTCTGTACGTGTCACCATTAAATCTATGGAAAAGTCCTGTATTAATAAAACAGTCAAATTAATTATATTATTTTACACGTAGTAATACTTTTTTTATTTCACATTTCAGTTTACTCTTTTATGATTTAATGATCGTACAAAATTATATATTATGGCTGCTCAATTGTTCAACGAAAGAGATAATATTTGGTGATTTTACCGCCGAAACACGTTAGTAATTGTTTAATTAAAATTTTCTGTCAATCTTTCGAGAACGTTAGACTCTTTATTTCGTAGTATCTGGGATATATATATATATATATACATATATAATGTATTTGATCATATATGTATATACATATACACATATATATCAGTAGCATAATCCGTATGAACATCAAAGTCGTCCATCAAGGCGTAGTGACGTTACCTACCTCGTAGACTGATACTAATAGAATCATCGTTAAAGTTCCTACTAATTTTCCAATGCGATTACTCTGGAATCAAGCTGACGGATTTACCTACGTATGTTGAATTTATCTCGACTAAGCGAATAACTTTGTCTAAAAATTTCAAATAAAACCTTGTCTTTATTCTACTTCACGTGAATCCATTTTTATAATATTTTTAAAGAAAATTTATTTTACAATAACGTAATAACTGATAAAAATCGTGGGCTGGACAAATATATTGTCGATAGAAAAGTCATTTAATTCGATTATAACGATAAAAGTAATATAACCAGTATATATATATATATATATATATATATATATATATATATATAAATTATGTATTTATATAAATGTTCTTTTTGTGGTTACTGTAAAGTAGAATCGCCCGCGGCAAATGACACTTTTCGAGGATGTTTGCATTTAAAAATGAAACGGACTGGATTTTAATAGAGTATATGCGCCTGCGGCGTATAACTCTCTTTTAATCTTTTATATTTTATCTCGATAATAGTTAATGTTTTTCTAGATTAAAATGGCATAATGTATTCCGAACGAAAATTGACAATGTAATGATTTTTCGAAATTCTATCAAAAAATATTTATATCGTTCTTGATGAACCAATGAATATTAAGCTATGTTATTTATTTTTAATTTGTAATTTTGCCTTTGTCGAAAAAGCTCTCCTGGAATCGTAATTTCTTTCTACCTCGAAAACTCGCGTTATCTCTCAACCGTTTCTAGGTTATTCCAGTTAATACTTTTTCCATGAGGATATAAAATGTATCTCTTCTAATCTTCGAACTTACAGTTTCTCGTATAACTCGTCTTTTTCCTGAAAGTATCTTATAATGAACGGTCAATTTGTTTTCTTCGTTTGTATATGTATGCTCTTTGAACGTTATACAAAAAAATAAATTCGAATGACTTCGTTCTTAAGATCAAAAGTTATGCATACCATAACACATATTCTGTCCGTTTTACGACGACGCTCGTATTTTTCCAAAATATAAATCGTAATAAAGATTTCGTACGGCTAAAACATAAAAGACTTTTTATGTTCTCTCGTAAAGACAAAAAAGAGAAAACGAAAGAAAGAAAGAAAGAAAGAAAGAAATAAAGAAGGAAAGATAAAAGAAAAAAGAAAAAAAAAATTGAAAATCCAAAAAAAAAGAAAGATTTCATATTCGTGCTAACACTACGGAGGTTTTAAGATCTTTTATCACATCGTCGTAAGAATTATAATGAGAATTTATCCCGAATATGATAGATCGAGAGAAAACGTAGTAAAATTAAAATTAAAATGTCTCGATTAAAAAAATCGATATTTTCAAGTTATGAGGATTTTTTAAAGGAGATGGTTTATATCAATGAGAATACTTTTTTGAGAAAGTAAACGTTGCACATTTTCTTTTTTTATCGAAATAACTGTGACTACGAGAATGATCCAGGAAAAGACGATCAAGGTGGTGCAGTATATGAAGTTAAAAATAGTATTCAGAGTTGCCCTTGGATAAATTATTGTGACGTCAAAAACATGGACAAAGCTATTCACCAATGAACCGCGCCGAACGATGCATCCATCCATTATTTTGTCTGTATATTATCATCAATAATTATATATATATATATATATATATATATGCGTATAGACGCGTAACAAGACCAATTTTGTTAGAATCTTTTTTATTCACAGCGTGCTGCAACTTGACTAAGGATAAGAAAATTATGCCGTTTACTTTATTCGGTAGAACTTCCTAAATGGCAAGCAATTTTCCGTTAACGAAAGTTCTCGCGAGTTTAAGCTCAAAAAATATAAAGCTTTTTAAAATTTCAATAACAATACAAAAAGACTTTGATGTTTTATATTTCTATTTCTAAAGGAAACCTCTGAAATCATTCCAACATCGATTAATCATTTTATCCGTCCGCCTTTTTTAAATAATTAATTATTATTTAATGTATTAATTATTAATTATTATTTAGAAAATATTTTTGATTGTGTTATTCAACATTTATCGTTTTTCTTCTTATAGATAGCAATTTCGTCCTCGGAAATGCGCAGGTTCCGACGATCTATCCGATCGTTTATTGTTCTGACGGATTTTGTGAGCTGACAGGATTTGCGCGAGCGCAGATCATGCAAAAGGGTTGCGCTTGCAAGTTTCTTTACGGCTCGGAAACGAAAGAGGAGGTAAAAGCGATGATTGATAAGAGTCTCGAAAGTAAAACAGAGCTGAAGATGGAAGTCGTCTTTTATAAGAAGAACGGTAAGAGAATTTCTTTTTTGGTGTATTGCGATATAAAAACGTTGAAGCTTCATTCGCGCATTTAAATAAGATTGAAATTCTATAAATTTATTTTGGCAGACAAGTCGATCGATAGTCGTGCAAACCGGTTAAGTAAATTTGACGCCGTGTTATTTACAAATTTTTTTTAATGAACATCGATGGAAACGAAATGTTTTTAAAAGATTGCAAGAATTACCAACCACATTTTGTCGGATGCAACGTATACCGCACGATTTATTAATTTCACGGTAATATCCCTCCGTCGAAGATTAAATTCACAATGAAGGGAAGAATCTGCGAATCTTGAAGAAGAATTTAATCTTTTTCCTTCGGCCGGTTGGATGCGAATAAAAATAAATTATAGTCTGTCTCCGTGGTAACTATGTATTTCGTTCGGGAAAAAAATCACGTCGATCTTTCATTCCTTTTCTTTATTTTTCTTGGTTCATGTAAATTTTTTAAAAATTTCAAAAATTAAAATTGCTTTCAAGCTCATTGAATCAATTTACAGAATAAATTGAAAATATGTACCTATCTCATATAAAAATGATTGATCGATCTAAGAAAAGTGAAAAGAAAAATTAAAAGTCGATTCATTAAAGGGAAAAAGAGAAAGGGAAAGAGAGAAAAAAGAGAGAGAGAGAGAGAGAGAGAGAGAGAGAGAGAGAGGGAAAGTATTATTCGAATTGTTTGGCAAACAAAATACACAAGGCTATTTATTAAGACTGCTCTCTTAACCGCTTGCTGGCATTTTACTGAATATTCTGGAAATTAAATTAATTAGTCCTGCTGTCTGAAGACAAGTCATTATTATTTTACATTAATACGAAAACCTATTATATTTCGCCCTGGCTTTTTAATTCTCACGTGACGTATTTCGCAATAGGATACCATTCTCATTCACTCTCTTTCTCTCTCTCTCTCTCTCTCTCTCTTTCTTTCTTTTTCTCTTTCTTTCTTTTTCTTTGCCTACATTCTAGAATATCTATCGTTTTTATATTTTCGAAAATGTCTCGTGAAACGTGATGAACTCGAGAAAATTATAAGATAAACGAAAGAATGATAAATTTTCAAAAATGTTCATACGTTTTTTCTTTTATCAAAATTTCAAATGATAATTATTAATTTTATTCCTTTCGTAGGAAGCCCATTCGATTGTTTATTGGATATCGTTCCAATAAAAAACGAAAAAGGCGATGTGGTCCTGTTCCTGGCATCTCACAAGGACATCACACATACGAAGAATCTTCAGCTCTGTGAGTTGCACGATAGTGGTGAGTTTTAATCATGCTTCGCTTATAAAAATCGGCCTGATATAATCGTATTATACCTAATAGCAAATAGGTCCCGTCGTATTCGACCTTGTCGAATAAACGAAGATCAAAAATTTCGTAATGTATTTTAATTGTTCGATATTGTTTATGCCATTGTTCTTCAACTTGCGATTGGATTATTTACATAATATAAGACAATTATATATTTATATACACGGCACGCTTTACGCATGGCTATCACGCATCACGTTATTTAGCCAATGCAACACCAATTTTTAAGCACACGACACATCTCGATTGCACATTTAAATAACTTATCACAAGAACCAAGGAAAAAGAAGAAAAAGAAGAAGAAGTAATTTTCTTGTTTACATTTACCTACGTTCTAATCAATGCAAACGTGTTAAGACAATACAGCTTTGTAAAATTATCGTTAAGAGCAGATTACAGATTAACTATTCAAAAGGTATATTTTATTGATAGAGGATTAAACAAAGTTGATTTTAAAGATATTACAAATTAACAAATTCCGAAGATCTCAACGATAAAAGTATAGTTTAATAACTTACCAAATCTTTTTATTTCTATATAAAAATATAAATATAAATATCCAAAATATCTTAAATATTTTACTAGATACTATGTGTTATATATCTTTTTCTTTCTTTTTCTCTTTCTCTCTCTTTCTCTTTCTCTCTCTTTCTTTTTCTCACTCTCTCTCTCTCTCTATTTTCCTCTTCCTAGTTTTATTTAGATTACTTAAACAATATCTTATTTACGATGAAAATCGGATTTACTTTGAATATTGAAACTTTAATATCCGCTATAAGATAAAATATATTTTATCGAACCGGAGATACGAAAAATTTTTTACTTTTAAAAAAAAAAAATAAATTTGCAAATTTTTTTATTACAAGAATGACTCATTACACAATTCATATTTTATTTTTGTTGTATATCTAGAATTAAAATATTATATTACAGCATCGGGAATGTGTAATTGTTTTTTCTTTTGTAATGCATTTTTCGTAGTATGTAGTGATATTTGATATAATCAAATTCAATTATTGCCCATAATATATAACATATAACAATACATATAACATGTGTCTATATAAATTGATATTGAGCGAATATAAACATGAATATTGAATAAATAAAATCCGTCTCTGTTCGGTTTGGTTTTTTATAAATAATTTTAATCCAATCATATTTAAAATAATAGTGCTCTGTCGGTATGAAATAAATTTTTACTTGTATCTCTAAAAGAGCAACAATGTCAAGAATAATAATCGATAATTACATTGTAAACGTACGTGAATATTATGAGATATATTTATTTACTAATCAATCGGGTTATATGTGAAATAAAAAGTTCAACAAAAGTGCCTGTTAAATTCGCGTGAATTAATGATAATTCTCTTTGGGTTAATATCGTTAAATGAAATATGTTTTAATACAGTTCATGTTTATAGAGTTAAAAGAAGAGAAATATGGGCACTTTGATATTATCACGTTAGAGAATTAACATTTGTTAAAATGACTACACGAGATTATAAAAAAAAAACCTTTTACGCCGCGACGGTACAATTTTACACTTTTCAGATGCAAATGGAAATCTTGATCCTGAAGCGCCACCAGCTAATTATGGTAGAAGAAGAAGTCGTGCTGTTTTATATCAACTCTCCGGACATTACAAGCAGGACAATAAACACAAGATAAAATTGAACAACGTGAGTATCTAGAATAAATCTTGTTAGTGGGGGAAAAAAAAAGCACGAACTTTCCAAGGCGCAGTAAACGATTAAACTCTTTGCATTTATGAGCTCATATATAACCGAGTGACAATATTTTTTTCCCATAAAAGTGCTGAATCATCTCTGATGTGACAGTTCAGTTAGTTAATTTAACAAATCAGTAGAGAATAATTTTATTGAAAAATTACTTTTAAAGCATACGTATATGTCTACGTATATACAATATAAGATTAGAAATTTAGAAAAAATTGAATTAGAATTAACCGAGAACAAACTAGGAAATTACAATTTTTCATTTTATTATATGAATTTATATTTGTATTATTTATATTATATTATTGTTATTATTATTATTAAAAACGCGTCAGAATAATTCTTCGATACAGTTTATACTTCTGAGAAACTATAATAATAATGTGACTTGCGATCAAACATTATTTGCATACACTTTAAGTTCTAGCATACACGTAGTTCACTTATTAAATTCCACGTTCTCGCTTCAATTAGTTAGTAACTCGCAACTGTTAATTCATTTAAGGATCCTTCGTAATAATGAAATTTACACCATATTGCCCGTTGACCAAATCACGGAAAGGAGAGCATCAAACATTATATAAAATCTTTGTGAGTTATGCACGTTTTAGTGCATAATTAATAGCTATAAATTTGTTTGTTTTAGATATTTTTTTTTCAATAGTTTCATTATAAATGATTTAAAATAATAAATTTATAATGGAGAACTTGGAATAATATTAAGAAAAAAATATTAGAATTATTTTATGCATAATTTAAATAAAAATATACGTATAAATTGATGACAATAATTATTTTATGAATTTACTGAGAAATACTTGCAGTACGTATAACGTACAGGACGCTTTGATGCCTCCGATCTCCTTTATGGTGGTAACGATCCTCTTTATGAATTTTATTAAGGAAGATAATTGGAGATCATAACACGTTGCGATTTTACATTGCTGTGAATACATATTGTTAAGAAATATTTTAATTCTGTACGCGTATTTTGACTTTCTCACTAACCGTGTCTCCATATTTTATTTAAAAATTCTTCGTTCATTCGTTTAATCAAACCTTGAAAATTCATTTGATGAAAATAATCAACTTTTTTAATTGGCAAAGAGTAGAACAATGTACGTATATCAAGCCATACAAGCTTTTCTCTACTTTTAGCACCACGAGTAAACTACTCAGTTAGTTTCTATTTGAAGTTTGCGACTGAGTGACGTTTCCCTTTGTATACTCGGAGGCCATTCAATACAAAGGATTGTTCGTAAAGAATCTATGAAACCAGAAACATGTTTATTCGTGTTACCAAGATGATTTCTTAGTTAATGTATTGAGATATAATACATCCTGGAAAGCCCGTTACAATTCTAATCGATTGTGAAAGTTCGTTAGCCTTTAACTATCCTTTGCCGAAAAATTTATATAAAAAAAAAAAAAGGAGAAAAGAAAAGCATGAGAAAGAAATAATAGTAATCTCTAATACGACTGGTGTTTTTTTTCTTTTTCTTTTTTCTTCTTTAAATCGATCGGTTACAGACCCTCTTGCATTCCACGGCACCTCCTCTACCGGAGTATAAAACTTCAGCGATCAAAAAGTCGCAATTCATTCTAAGTCATTATGGCGGCTTCAAGTCATGCTGGGATTGGTTGATACTATTAGCTACCTTCTACGTTGCTATCATCGTTCCATACAATGCAAGCTTCATCAACATCGATAGACCGACTATGGTCAGTGATGTCGTCGTGGAAGCTCTTTTTATATTCGGTTAGTATATTCTTTTGATCATATTTTTATTTATGTCTCAACACTATAGAGAGATTTTTTGCGATTATTATTAAAAAAAAAAAGAAAAAAAAACAGAAAAAAAGAAAAGAAAATGCCTACAATTCTTACCCGCCATCAAATAAGTAACAATACCGTAAGATGAGTCTGACCCATATACGACTTTGACTACTCGCCAGATATATTGCTCGGTATCGAAAACACCTTCTTGACTACGATCGAACGCGAACTTTCAATTGAATGCGAAACTCCCTTTACAAATCTTCGTTCTTACGTCTTGGAACGATTTTATCAATGGATAGTTGGCGTAACAAGCTTGGAGACAACATGAAGAAACCTCTCGTGCAAAAGATTTCTCGAATTCATTGAATTTTCATTAAAAAGAATTACGTATATAATCGAATCTCGACTTTCAATGGATTATCTATTTCTCTTACGGCCTCCTCCCTTCCTCAACCTCTTCTCGTCCTCTCTTTCGCAATAATTTGTTCGAGAAAGGAACAAGAAAGGTTCTCTTTTTATCCAATTGGTAATTCGAGAAGCTCGTTACTTCGAAACCGTAAGCACAGATAGCTTTAACTTCTTTTTTTTCATCGTCTCAGCTTCAACCCTTCTCACGGTTTTTTCCCTTGCAAACCGAATTTCTTTCCCTCTCTCTTATGCTCTCTCGTTCTTCCCTCCCTTTTATCATACTACTACGTCTCGCATTTGACTTTTTCTCCACTCGAGACCGTTTTTTTCCCAGACGCGAACACAGCGGAATTCACTTTTTCTCCCTGTTACATCTATTTACCACATCCTCGACGTCAAATTAATCCGCGTTATAGTCAAGAGGAAAAGAGAGTTTTCTATCACTTTAAACGAAATTCTCGGATGACAAATTCGACGAATTCGACGAATGAGAGAGAGAGAGAGAGAGAGAGAGAAAGAGAGAGGGAGATCTGCCATCTTGAAAAATACTTGAGCAAAAAAGGAAACCAGAAAGGTCCCAAGAAAAATTTAATTAAATCCAGATGTCGGTGGAAATAGTCATTACCACGAATTAAACGATTATGATCATGACTTCTTAACTTTCGTAATGGTTATTCATCAACCGTCATATAATAGGATGCTCGTTAATTATCTTAAATAATGTTGGTTATTTTACTAGATCACGATAATCTAGATATTTGAGAGTTCGTTATCATTATACCGTTCGTCCGACATCATTATACCGTTCTCTTCTTGTTATGATCTTTAACGAGAAACAAATTGGATGATGGTTATTTAAATTTGCTCATTCGAAGAATATGATTCTTTATCCGAAGGATTTAGAATTGAAACTTGCGATTCTTAATTTCTTGGAATTGGATATTTTATTTCATCTGTTTACTTTGGAAGTTGGACGAATGACCGACGAGTAAATTTCATCGAAAGACGAAAGCACTTTCTACTTCGTGTTAAAGGCATTCACTAAATTATTATTTGTATTAGGAAAGTTTCTACGAACTATCAACAGCATTAAAGTAAACAATATAAAGCGAGTGTCTTCCAAATTACAAAATTGTTAACTTTGCAACTTTACTATCTGATTCATGTTGAGCAACCAATCTATAGTATACGAATAGCAGAGAAACAGACAGACAGAGAGAGAAAGAGAGAGAGACAGATTTGAGTAGGCAAATTAGTTAGACCCAATGTAATCTTGTTTGTAAGTGGGATTAAATGGATTTCTCTACTTCACGCTGGAAGAGTTCCTTTGCAAAGTGCACAACGTCTCATTATGAAAATGAGACAGACAGAGAGAGAGAGAGAGAGAGAGAGAGATAGAGAGAGAGAGAACGCTTTGACCAATGTCCGATCGCACGATTTACTTGCTGCTACGCTTAATGACTATTCGAGTTTCAACGTTACGAATGAACTTGATGAATCCCACTGCACGTACATGCTAAATTAATTAACGCTATACCTATGTATCTACCTTAACGTACCTTCAAAGATAAACCAATAGAAATCGTTAAACGAAATGCAACGTGACTCTACTGGATCTATAATAATAAACATAATAAAAATTATGAATTTACTAGATAAGAAACTTAATTTGTATATATTAGTTTTTCAATTTGTTTATTGAAATTCAAGGAAAATTGCTATTTGGTTAGAGAAATTTTCAATTTTGTCAATGTCAATCGTTCATCGAGGCTCAATACGTGACAATTTGCTCGTAGATCTATCTTGTTTGTTTGTTTGTTTGTTTGTTTTTTCTTTTTTTCATATATAAGAGGCAATACCTCTTTTTTTTATAGGAATACAACAGCACTATTTCTAATAAAACTTATACCTTTTTTTGTTCGATTTTATTTCTTCATTTTTTGTTTTCCCTTCATAGATATACTCTTGAATTTTCGAACAACATACGTCAGCAGAAAAGGCGAGGTCGTGAGCAACAGCAAGAGTATCGCATTGAACTACGTGAAGAGTTGGTTCTTCGTTGATCTTGTAGCAGCTCTACCCTTCGATTTTCTCTACGCTTCGGATGTTTACAGTGGAGAGGTTAGTACTTTATATGTTTATTATAACACCATCATTTCATTATCACTGACATAATAAAATATATTTACGTTTCATCCATTTAGCTTTTTACAGGATAACAAATCGAATAATTGTTCGTTCTATTAAAAAATAATCCCACTCATGGTACGTGTAAAAGGGAGCATTATATATCTCCCAAAAAGGACGTGCAACGTTCTTTAATGAAATTCCATACATTAATGCAGCATTTCTCAACCTGTGAACCAGAAATCAATATTGGACGGCATTAAATTTTCTATGGACCGCTATATGTTACCTATTACCTGATTACCTTCCCAAAACGAGGAATGTAATTAATTTGTAAGAGATTTAGAGAGAATTCTAGTATAATTTTTTTGCGAATATTCACGAAAATATTGCAATAATAACCTCAATATCTTTAAAATAATATACGGTGTCTAAAGTTTACTAGATTTTTCAAAACTATATTACGAACATTTGGCGGTATCATTGAAAATGAATTTATTGAATCTCATGATCACAAAAAGGTTGAAAAACGTTGTGTTAATCTACAACATGATAAATACAAATAATCGTTGAAAATCCATTATCGGAAGTTTTATATTTTTGTTGTAAATGAGAATTTAAACGAGATGGACCAGCATAATCTATATTATATAATATATTATAATCTATACTATATACTGTTTATTCGTTTCTTATTTGTTCATTCAGTTTAGTCAAGTTTATTTTTCTCTTTTTTTTCCTTTTTTCTACTGGCAACGAGCCGGTATGCGACCGGAAATTCATCAAATGACATTTCCTACGATTGAATGCTTCAATCACTACTCTTTATAAGTTCGGAAGATTCGAGCGAGAACTCGTAATTACATCCATTGTTGGCGAGTACAAGATGAAATTCAAACGCAATGACGTATCCACGATAATCTTGAAAATTTTCAAGTAACGGTACGGAAAATTTCATTTTGTTGCCTTATCAAAATCCGATTTACGTTTAGTCGTTGAAAATAAACAAAAAGAAGAAATAAAAGAAAAAAGGATGAGGAGGAAGAAGAAGAAGAAGAAGAAAAAGAAAATGAGGGAAAGGTCATCGATTCAAGAATTTATTGAAACCGCCTTAAGCTAACATTTTTTCATGACTTTGCAATAACGAAGATTAACGTATTTGCTTTTATCGTAAATCAAAGTGATATTTTAAGAATACACGAAAATACAATTTCCGATCGATACTGTCTAATAAGATCGTATAAACGCTTAAAGAACGGTAATATTATTTTTAGGAGCTTTAACGATTTCTTTTTTACTTCGTAATATAGATCATGATTTTTTTCCCTCGATTTTTTCAATTCGAGTGGTCAAGTTGTGATTCTAATGTGGAAATGGCAAAAAATATATATTTCAGTTCTCATTGTATAAATGTAAGAACTTAAATGATGTAATTTTTTTTAAGAATTCAACAATGAAATTATGATGTAAAATTTCGCGTAAAATTCTCCGCCGTAATCACTTGTTTGTTTTTTCTTTTTTGTTTGTTAGCTGAATATAATTCTACGGATAATAACGAAATACCAAATAGATGAGGTAATTTTACATTCCGTTGTTACAACACCATCGAATTTGTGGTCTATGCTAATTCCAAATATACATCAAGCGTATCTCCAGTAATTTACCTACCTTTAACAAATATCTTGATTGATAGCATACACTTCTAACCTGTTATTCGTATTCACTCGAACTAGCTCAGTTGCAATCCATTATACAAACTACTTATGTGTGTGTGTGTGTGTGTGTGTGTGCGCGCGTGTGTGTGTATGCGTGCATGCGTGCGTGAGTGTGTGTGCGTGTGTGCGTGTATGTATGTATATATACGAAAAATTCTACTAAAAAGTAAATCTAATTAAGAATTAATTTATTTTATCTTTTGGATCATTAGTATTATTATTAACATTACAAAAGAATGATTTTAATGTATCATTTTCTCGTTTTATCACAGGAATCAGGACATGGTAATATTCATCTAGTGAAATTGACCAGATTACTTAGGCTGGCTCGTTTGTTACAAAAAATAGACAGGTACTCGCAATATAGCGCTGTGATCTTGACGATGCTGATGTTATTTTTTATTCTGGTCGCCCATTGGCTCGCCTGTATTTGGTTTGTTATAGCCGAAAAGGAAAGATTACGAAATGACAAGGAATGGGACCTTGGTAAGTCGAACTAGTAAACTTCTTCTTCTATTATATCGAATTAATCTTTTAAATGACAAATTTATATCTAATGTCATAATTAAAATCAATGAAATACGTAAGTTTATATTAATTTTCATAAGTTTTAAAAATATTTTCTCTAAAATAACGAAGACAATTTTTTAATTTTCCTCTTTGCAACAATTTTCTTTTTCTTTCTCTCTCTCTCTCTCTCTCTCTCTCTCTCTCTCTCTCTCTCTCTTTTTCTTTCTTTGAAAGTTCCTATTATAAGCAAAAAAAAATCTTTCGCTATTTCTGTAAAGGTCAAATGAAATGACATGAAATTTCATTTTTCATTGAATTGAACGACTGATCGATCGTTCGAGCGCATACGATAAAAAACTTTTTAATAAAATAAATTCAAATTATCTTGAGAGAGGGAGAGAGAGAGTATTTGCACGTGTATGTACTAGCGCAGAAGAAAACATGATTCTAAGGATAGAGGAGTGAAAAGGTGAACTTGAACAAACAAAGCCTATGTAGTTCACACCCTACGTAAACGTATTTCTCAAGTTTATTTTCTTTTTCATTACAAGATAAAGGGAATATTATACGGTAACATAGATGGTATTCCAGAATCTACATTTGCAATTTTTTAACATGAATAAACAATCTTACAATACTATAAAGAAGTAGTATAAGATGAAACGTTAATAAAATAAAAACGTCCCAGTATACGTTTAAAACTTAATCTACGTCGGGAAGAAAGATATCTATATGAAGAATGAGGGATTAAAAAATTACCTGGACTACCACCGACTTTATCGATAATAGGGACTATCATAAAAATTGATGATTCAATTTCATTCGCGATTAATAATTGTGATCTGATTACTAACATAAGTGGTTTAACTAGTTGGATATAATACCTTATAAGGGAGAAAGCATAAAAGATAAGTACCTAAACGATAACGAACGATGATCGATCTCCTGATATGTTCTAGGTTGGATACATGCTCTTGCAGAACGTTTAAAAATTTCAGTGCAAAATGTAACGCACACGGAAAGTTATATCACGGCATTATACTTCACCTGTAGCAGTTTGACTTCCGTGGGATTTGGAAACGTTTCGGCGAATACATTTTCTGAAAAATTTTTTTCGATTTGTACGATGCTAATCGGTGGTTAGTTGACATTTTCCTAGAATTTATTTCGTCGAATCATTGTTGTCGCACAAAAAACCCATATATATATATATATATATATATATATATATATACTCATATATATATTATATCGTTTCAATACTTTTCACTTTAGCTCTGATGCATGCTGTCGTTTTCGGTAACGTCACGGCTATCATTCAAAGAATGTATTCGAGAAGATCGCTCTATCAAACGAAATTACGAGATTTAAAGGACTTTTTAGTGCTTCATCAAATTCCCGATGAATTGAAGCAACGAATGCAAGATTACTTTCAAACGATGTGGTCTTTAAATCATGGTATCGACATACACGAGGTAAAATCATTATAACAAAATAAACTTACGAGATAGCTAGTAATTCGAAAATTTCTATTGAAATTTCGTACTCGGTAATAATAATTTTTAGAAAAAATTAAATGAAATATAATTAAGAACGCCGTGTTAAATATATTAAACACTTTTCAGACGCTGAAACAATTCCCTGAAGAACTTAGAGGAGACGTTTCAATGCATTTACACAGAGAAATCTTAAGCTTACCAATATTCGAAGCTGCTTCTCAAGGTTGTCTTAAACTACTTTCTCTACATATTAGAAGCAATTTCTGCGCTCCCGGCGAGTTTCTTATTCACAAAGGAGATGCTCTCTCTTATATTTATTATCTGTGCAATGGTTCCATGGAAGTTGTTCAAAACAAGATGGTCGTTGCGATTCTAGGTAAAATCCAAATACGTTCCTTCTAATATTTTCTAAAAAAAATGTACTCTCTTGAAAAATATTGTTCAACTTTATAATAATATGATGTAAAACGAATAATAACCTTTTCTTTTCTATACACAACTAATCAAAATAATCGGCTTTATTCAAGGAAAGGGTGATTTAGTAGGCTGCGATATAAATGTTCATCTACAGCATGGAAACAACGGTGGAGGAACTGGTGGAGGTGGTTCTGGAGGCTCTGATGTCATTGTGAAATCCAGTTGCGACGTCAAAGCTTTGACTTATTGCGACCTAAAGTGTATACATATGCAAGGCCTGGTTGAAGTTCTCCGTCTTTATCCTGAGTATCAGCACGAATTTGCACACGATATACAGCACGATCTAACATACAATTTACGGGAAGGTTACGAAGCTGAGGTAAGTTGTTTGAATGTGCGAACTTTGGATGACAAAGTTAGGAGAGAGAGAGAGAGAAAGAGGGAAGGGAGGAGACGAAGAGAAATTCTAATATAGATTTATTTTGTTTATCTGCAACTTATGCATGATTTTTTATGAGTTTTTTTACTATCAGCAGGAATCAGACATGAACGGTCCGTCGTTAACGTTGCCGTCGATTAGCGAAGATGATGAAAATGTACCTGAAGAAGGGGAAACGTCTCCCCTCTCGCCACCAAATAAATCACCACTGCATACATCATCACCACGACATGCTAAATTTAGGTAAAGTTTTTTCTTATGAGTAATATATATATATATATATATATATATATATATATATATATATATTGTAGATACACATCCATGAACATTTCTCACGTTTCTTATTGTTTATAAATCAGAGACGAGTATAGAGAAGGTAGAAGAGGAGCAAGCAGGGGAGTTCTAATGAAAGGAAGGGCAGCACAAATAATCTCTCAAGAATCTATGGAAGAACATATTCGTGGTTCCGTAGAAAGATTGGATACACAGGTTTCTACGTTACATCAGGACGTCGCTACTCTAAGTTGTGAAGTAGGTTAAAAGAAAAATAATAATAGTAATAAATGAGTTTTATCCATCAGATGCAATAAATAAACATTAAAAAAGATAGATTTAACGATACAAAAAAATTTGTATTCGATAGGTAAGAAATGCCATTCATGCTCTACAAATGTTGGCTTATTCGCCTCAAAGCAATCCTAATTTACCAAGACCAATTAGCCGTGGTAGCGGAATGTTAGCAAGAAGCTCCTCTCATCCACCAGATGCTATCTGTTGGAATCCACCAACGAGATTAGCTGATGCCACCACTCAAACGGATTGGCCAGTCGATGTATTTGAAGTTTGGGTTCGAGGGAATCCCGATCGTGTTTTAATGATACTAGGTCTTGAGCCTGACTTACTCATTAGGTTACAACCATCATCTCCGACACAATCACCGTCTTCACCACCACCACCACCTTACGAACCCTTATCCCCGTTGGCAGGTACACCACCGCAATCACCGTCCCAATCTCGGCGTAAGTACTTTTAAATCCAATGCCAATCATCGTCCTCTTTTTACACCTTTTCGATAAACTATTATCAAATGGATTACTCCGGTTTCATCAAAATTTCATCAAAATAAAAATTGGAAACGATTTCGAAAAAATTTTCTTAAACTCGTAAAATTATATTTTTCTACGACAAAAGGGAGTAAGAAAAATAAAATAAAAAGAAAAGAAAAAAGAAAGAAAAGAAAAAGAAAGAAAAGAAAAAGAAAGAAAAGAAAAAAGAAAGAAAAGAAAATAGTAGAAGAAAAGGAAAAATTGATCCATTATTATGTTTTTCCAGATAAAGAGATTTGCGTCTTCGAGAGTGATCGTGAAAATAGGCACGTCTCTCGGACTTATCGAAGCTCGCACACAACAACGTGGGATTCGGAAAACAAGTTGTCTCATCGATTCAGCGCTGGTGACGCGGATAACGTGTCTCTCTATCAAGCTTTTAATGCCCTTCATCAACTTCCTGAATCACGCTCCTTGAAATTCGATCCATTTGATAGCTGAACAGAAATCGAGGAGGATGATCTTCAAGATCGTAGAAGAATTTCCGACTAAAACACGTTCCATGTTTCCGTTCGTTATGCATAATGTGATGCGTCAAGTTGGATTTGGTTAGTGAGGCGGAAAAAAAATCGAATGAAAAAGAACGAATAAAAAAAAATTTGAAAAATCAACTTTTGAAACGCGGAACATTCGCAACATTCTGTCAATTTTATCATCGAATATCGATCCCGTCTCTGTCGTTTTTTTTTCTTTTTTTTTTCAAAGGGACAAAAAAAATTTGATTAAAAGATTTTAACGCGATCTATATATTCGATCTATTCGAATCTCGGTAGATTTATATTATAAGTTAGAAGAATAAAAACAGAAAAGGAAGAAAAAGGCAAAGAAAAAACAAAATAAAATAAAATAAAAAGAAGGGAAGAAAAAAGCTAAAAACGAAAGGAAACGATGTGTTTTAAATATTTTCTGTGATATATATTTTCTATCGCTTTCGACCAGGATTTTTCGCCTAATTCGCTAAACCATCGAGAGAATACGTTGCTTCTGAAAATTCCAAAGTTCGAAAGTAAATATCTCTTTCTGATGTTTATGAGATACGTATATTGAGTGCGAAGCACGTAACGCGAATCGTCAGTCAAAAGTCTTCTACTCTCTTCGAGTGTAAGCTCTTCGTTCATTCGTGCCTCTATCTTACTACACTTCATCTATTTACCTATCCATCTCTCTCTCTCTCTCTCTTTCTCTCTCTTCCTCTCTCTTTCTCTCTCTTCCTCTCTCTTTCTCTCTCTCTCTCTTTTTCTCTCTCTCTGTATATCTATTTTCAAGATATCAGTGATTCTTAGCCGATATCATTGTACGTACATACATACAAACACATTCAAACATATCGATCGTAAAAGATAAATGATAATGACATCCTGCATATCAAATTCTATATATGTATGTATTCCAAAAGACTATGAACGAACGCTGTTATATATGTCATTATGATATACCTTCTCCACGAAAGTGTTCTACATTATATCTCGAGCGATAAACGGGAACAAACGGTTCTTTGCGAGGTCAATATATTATATAACCTTTACTTTTCTTGAGGGAAAGAAAAAGAAGGTATCGTTTTTCTAAGCTAAACGATTAGCGAAATTAGTTTGGATAGTTGTACGTATGTAGGTATACACACATACGTTGATACTTTTCTTTTTTATCCGTCAAAACTTTTTTGCTTGAATCATTCCATGCACGTATTGCTGTGATCGATTAAACGTAGTTAGTGAGAAGAAGAAAAAGAAGTTGATGATAAAAAAAGATAACGTGCGATACACTTAGACAAAGGTCGTTAAAGAATATAAAAAAGGAGAATGAGAAGGAAAATCGATGATATGGTCACGGAAAGTTTTCATATATATAAGAGGCAAAAAAAAAGAAAAGAAAGGAAAATGAAAACAAAGAAAAATGCGTATCGATCGTTGCCTAATTTAATGCGTAAATCGTAACAAACAATTAGTCCTTTTGACGACAGTATAATAGTAGCGTAGCAATAATGAGCACAATTCTTTTCGATGTAAACTCCTCCGACGTCCAATTTTAGAATAATTAAATAATTCTCGAGATGTAGAAATCTCTTTTACTATCGTCTCCCTTGGAGACAATTGATTAACAATAACGAAAAAAAAAAAAGAAAAAAGAAAAAAGAAAAAAGTAAAAAGAAAAAAGAAAAAAAAGAAAAGGAACGAAAATTAAAAATATTAACGAGCACGACAAATGTACGTCTCGAACGAATCGTTTGAAACATATTAGTGTATCATATGAAGTTATAATATTGATACGCATAATATCTATTAATTTTAAATAAAATCTATCGAATAAATGTCGGTGTAAATAATAAAGAGATATCGAAGATACATATGTGATAAGGCACGGCTTTTGGCCATGCACTACCGTATTCGTTCGACTTCGTCGTCACTTGTGAAAATTCGATATCAATTTTTACAGTCCTATATTCTTTTAATTTAAAAAGAAAATTCAATTTTCGAAACATAGAAAAAATATATTGTGTCATAAATTCGTAAATTGAAAAAAAAAAAATAAAAAGTAAACAGTAAACAGAAAAAGAAAACAAGAGAGAACTTACTTATTATGTATGATCGGTGGTACACATAAAAAAAAATCAATGTCTTTATAAAAAAAAAAGTTCTGTCTAAAAAATCGTTGTTGTCCGTCGTCCATCAAATTTTCACAAGTCATGATAGAAGCAGCTGTTTTATAAATATTTCATATATTTTGTTATACTGTTTCTATGCTCTTCACACTACAATCCCAAGAAAGCTACTCTTTTATAGTATTAATCTGTATACTTCGTCTCCTCTACTCGTAGTTTTTACACTTCCCACCGAACTATGATTAAATGTCGCATACGAGAACACGAATTTATCAGATTGAGAAAAGAAAAAAAAGAAAAAATGAAAGCACAAAATTCGAAAAGATTAAGTTATTTCTTACTGTTCGTCCACAAATTTAAATAATCTTCTTGGAAGATTTTTTAAAGGTCAAATTATTCTTCACAGCATTCTATTGCTGTTGTAAAGTACGTTAAAATAAGAATGTTAATAACAAACGTTATGGAAAACGTTAATGTATATATATATATACATATATATATATATATATATATATATATATATATATATATATATATATAGGTATATATGTGGTGTATCTAATATTGTCCCATCTATGAAATTAATTTATAAGTTTATGTTAAGGGAAAAGAATTGAAAAATTATGAAATTTTTAGCTTAACTCTATCAAATTTTTTATCATAAATTTTTTATCTGATCTAGTTAGAAAATATTTGAATCGACGGCCTTAAATATAAAAAAAATAACTATTTTTTTTCAGAACACATAATATAACAAAAATACTTTTAAAAACGATTTCTATGGAATCGATAACCACGGCATACATACATAAACACACATACATTGTCTAGCGGAATGATTAAAGAAAAAAAGAAAAAGAAAAAAAAATAATCAATTCTATTCGAATGATCAACACACATAATTATAAAATTTTATTTCTAATAAGTTCGATTGCGATTTTTTTCGAATATATAGAATTATTATTTGATTCGAGGTTTTGTCGAAAATCACATACGAAATCAATTTTAATCGTGCAAATTTTTTTTGATAATTTTCGATTAATACAAATTCTATTATAAAAAACACAACCATATGCATATATCCGCAAGAATATAAATGATCATTAGATGGTACATATCGATTGGAAATTGGCTAAGAGAATACGGATATTGTACAAATTTGCAAAGAAAAAGATATATAATTCTAAAATATAAAAATGTATTTATTATAATGTCGGTAATAAATAAATCTCTTAAATCTACCGCAATTTGGAATTTTGCGGTTCGAAGATATAATATTTTTTAAAAACATATATACGTTGTGAGAGAGACACTACGTAGCTCCTCTTCACGTGCCTATAATTTTGCGAAACTTCTTATAAAACGAATACGTCTATGTTATTCATTTAGGATTATTAATTAAATATACTTTATTTAATTTCATCGATGCAGTTATAAAAGTAATTATGGCGATTCACGGAGTAAACTAAGTCTAGCTTACCTCTATTACGAAACGTTTATGTAAATTGTAAATATTCTTGGATGCTGATTGTACAGTACGCATCATATAATTGATTCCTTTGTTCTGTAAACGCATTACGAATTATTGCATAAATAAATCACAAGAGTAATATAAGATTTATATAATATATCCCTCATATATCTACATATATGTTTTATATTTCGACAAAGACACGAAAAAAAACTAATAATATCATAATTACTTACTCAAAAATAATGCACCATAAAAAAAGTATCAATGAACTTCACGATAACGGTATTTGACAAAAACTATTAGAAAGTTAATGATTATAGCGCATGCATAGGATATGTAACTCTCTATCCTATTTCATACATTTTACTTTGAAATTCGAATTTCTGTTTTATAAATCACACATATAAAACAATTTTAAGTATTGATTTGATGCTAAATGGATAAACGGATAAAGTTTATAAATTTAGATCCTTGAAAAAAAGATTAACATGAAAACAAAAAATGACAGAACGACACACGCATTTATACATTTTACATTTTTTCCTTTGTATTATTTACTTTAATGTTATTTTTGAAGATTAAAATCAACGAAATTAGATTTCAACAAATTACCTTTATAAATATTGAGACAAACAATAGAAAAAAATATTTGTTTGATTATATAAATATAACGAGATTATAATACAGTAGTTTAATTGCACGTCTTTATCATATTCTATCAACTGTCAAAATAAAAGGAATTTGTTCTCGAATAACTATTAATATGCGAATGCAATGATGCTGTATCTTGATGATGATGTATCTTTCGATTATTGTAAGTCTTAAAGTTAAAGAAGTTAAAAAATTAAAATATTAGATTCATCGTACATTATTTCAATGAAAATGATTAATAATGAAATAATGTTTAAATTGTATATCATTTTTCTTATATATCATATATTTATAATAAGATTATATCTTACAAATTATAGTATTCGAATCGATTATTTCAACTTCTTTATCTAGAGAGTTTGAAATTATTAGTTAAATATGTCGAACAGATGGCGCCAGGAATACAGAAAAATATCTACAATTTGCATAACCTAATAAAATATGAAAAATAAATTGAATATCTACTGATCATTGCTTCATAGTCCAACATATTTTATCGTTCAGTATACGGTATTAAAATACTTTAAATGCATTAAGGCGCCTCGAAAATGGTCTCTTAGTTTTTTTCTCTTGTTTAAGTATCAACCATAATCGATTCCAAAAACGTGTGCAAATCCGTGTACTGTCTAAGAAATTTTAATGATTTGAAGTAATTTTTTGAAAAATTATTCATTCATTTTATGCATATATGTTTATTTATTGATATTTCATTTTATTTGGAAATAATAAAGAAATTAAAATGAGTGAGGGAAAACCTATACCAAATAGTGTCAAATTTGCCATCGCTGGTCTTTCTGGGTTTGTACTTGACAGTTTCTTTTTCAAGATGTTTTATTACTTATTTTCAAATTATTTTTCATATTATATAATTTATTATAATATATTATATAGTCTTTATAAAGAGAGATAAACTTTTTCGTTTTCTGTCTTTATTTAGTAATTATATTATTTAAAAAATCGGTAATAATGAATTTAGAGGTCAAATGATCAATTATTGCTCACATCCAACAGAAAACGAATGGATGTTATTTTTAACTCTTTATAAAACGCATTGATATCATAAAACTTTTACCGGCCTTTCATTTCTCAATATCAGGCTATAAATAAAAATGTGTTCAACCATGAAGA